CATCAGTTGCTCTGTAGGAAAAGCTGAGGCAATCTGTTTCCATAAAGGGGATGTGTGTGTGTGTGTGTGTGTGTGTGTGTGTGTGTGTTCCATAAAGATTTATCCTTGAAAACCTTATCAGGTAATTCTACTGTGTCTAATAGTACAGCTAGGAGTTGGAATAGACACAACAGTGGGTACGGTAAATTTATGTTGAACCTTAAAAAAACAGCAAAGCTGTTTTCTAAACTGGCCTTGTCATTTTATATTCCCATCAGCAACATATAAGAGTTTCCATTTTACGTACCCGTGCCAACATTCTCAAATATCTATCTTTTTCTTGTAGCCATTCTAGTATATATGAAGAGGTACCTCAGCATAATTTTACTTTGCTTATTCTTGATAATGAATGATGTTCAACATTTTTTCACATTGTCTTAATCATTCATGTATCATTTTATGCTATTTAATATCTTTTATATTTGTTTTCCTTTTATTGAATTCTAAAAGTTCTTTGTATATTATAGATAGAAGACCTTTAAAAGATAGGTGATTTGCAAGTATTTCCCTCTATCTATGGCTTGTTTCTAATTTATTGGAATCATTTGCAATGTAAAATTTTAAAATAAAATTTATTCGATTTTTCCCTCTTTTATGGGTCATGCTTTTGGTGTCTAAAAAAAAAACCTTGATCTGCTCAGGATCTCAAAGATTTTATCATATATTTTCTTTTAAAAGTGTTATAATTTAAGTTTTTACATTAAATCTCTGATACATTTATATTAATTTTGGTTTATTATGTGAAGTAAGGATCTGAATTAATAATTCCCAGCATCATTTGTTGAAAGTGTAATTTCCTCAATGTCTTAGCACTGCATAGTGCTCTATTGAGTAGATGTGCCATAAATAGTTCATTCCTCCATTCTCCTATATTTGACAATTAAAGTTCTTCCTCATGTTTTAAAATGAAAAGAAATGCTGTGGCGAATAACTTTGTGTATATATGTTTTTCTGTTTTGAAGAGGTATCTTCCAGGTAGATTCCTTGGAGTGGGATGACTGGTCAAAAGGTAAAAGCAGATGTAGTTTTGTTAGCTACTGCACTATTTCCCTCTAGAAGACTCACACCAATTTTTATCCCCACTAAAGTGTCTTTTTCTTATAGCCTCACCAAAAGAATGTTTTGTAATGCTTTAAAAAAAACTTTCTGTTATTCTGTTAGGTGAAAAATGGTATTACAATGTTGCTTTAAATTATGTTTCTTTAATTATGTTTGAGGGCCAGTTTTTGCTTGTTTTTCTGAATTATTTGTTCCCTTTTCCCATTTTTCTATAAACAGCTGTATTTCTTGATTCTCTTTTTATGAGAACGGAAACTTATTTGGTGGAAATGGTCTGTTTTATTTGGGAGAATTATTGCAGTGTGTGGTTTGTGTAACCTGAAACCTGGCCCTTAAGAAACAAACTTTGAGTGGAAATTCTAGTGGGTTTGTTCTACAGAAAATGTCAACAAGAGAGATGTGGGAGGCATGAGTGTGAAAGATCATGCCGACTCAGGAGCAGGCTTGCTGACCTGGCCTACTTATCAAAGATTTGACACTTCTCTGATTCACTCCTGTTTTGTTCCTCAGACATTGATGAATGTGAAAATGAACTCAACGGAGGCTGTGTCCACGAGTGTCTGAACATTCCAGGCAATTATCGCTGCACTTGTTTTGATGGCTTCATGTTGGCTCATGACGGTCACAATTGTCTGGGTAAGGAGACCTTCAAAATGATGATCCTCCTTTGCATGTCTTCCAGCACCTCTCCTTTTTCTCTCCTTTGATAAAAACACACCAACTGAGACAAATGCAGGATAGAGATGTGTGTTTCTGTTTCCTATGAAATCAGGCTCTCTTAGAAAGTCGGATGAACTATTTTTCATTTTTATGTGATGATTCATAAGATAAATCCTCCATTTGCCTGAGGAGATGAATGGACAGTGTCATCATTATTTATTGATGATCAAGCATTGATTTGTAACTTTTAAGATTTCAGTCTTATATTTAAAAGGTATTTAGTTATAGAAGTTTCTTTACTTCTTTTATAAAAAATTTTTATTCATTCATTGTTGCACATTTTCTTCCTTCCCCCTGTGTCTTTACTTCTGTAAGCATCTCTATTTTGGAACTAGGTAGAACTCCTTGTCTTGAAAGACTCCAAATGTGTGCTTGGATTTTAGCCAGGTAGAGTCTCTCTGGTGGTTTTTTTTTTTTAAGAGAGAGAAAGACAAACATAAACTTTCCATTAACATCTTCCTAGTATTCCACAAACCAGAAACATCTGCTGGAGTTTCCATTGCTGTGTTAAGGACTGCAAAAGGTGTTGTCTACATTGGTTCTTTATGACAGGAATAAAACAGAACCTAGAAATATCAAGCAGTTGGATGGAATTGAGTGGTGGATGGTCTTGAGGATGCAGCATACCTGGCAGGCACGTCTGTTTGCATCCTCGTGCTGCTTATATCAGTTGTACAAGAAGACACCCACCCCCATGTCAAATGATGTTGATAGCCCTTTTTGTGGTTAAATTGTTGATGTCCATGTAGAAGCTTGGCCCAAGCCCTGGCTCTGGAAAGGCAGCTGTTCAGATGTCCCTTAGGGTGCATAGGAATGATCAGCTGATATAAACGCTTTGAGATTAGCATAAAAGACGCTGGATGTGTACAGACAGAGCTTAGTTTTTGAGTGATAGGGATGTACTATTATACGCTAGGGAAGGGAATATTTATTTTTTAACTCAACCCTTGTATGGCCTTTATTCTATTTTAGTCTCACCTGGAGCCCCATCCTGATTTAGACCCTGTCCCTTCTTATGTGTGAGAAGTCAGGCTTATGCGGGCACAGACCATTTGGCCTTCTAAGTCCAGAGCTGAGTCAGTGAGATCTGCTTTAGGGTGAGGTCATCAACAATCCCTCTGCAGACTTTCTAAGCAGTCAGGATCACAAGGAGACACTTTTAAGAGACATTGTTGGGGGCGGGGGGGGGGTTAGAGACATTGTTGGAACAGGAAACAAACCAACATCAACCAACTTAAAACTCAGAAAAATAAATTGGTTTCAATATTTGATTTGTTTTGGGAAGCATATAGAATGCTTTCTTTTTTTTTAAGGGAAATCTCACATTCCTCTTTGATTTGCCAACAGTGACATACTGAGGATTTGTGTCTGGTAGCACTAACATCTTCCTACTGTTACACACACAGAGAGAGAGAGAGAGAGAGACAGAGACAGAGACAGAGACAGAGACAGAGAGACAGAGAGACAGAGAGAGCTTGACACTCACATCTTCCTACTATTTGAGAGAGAGAAGAGCTCCCAGGAGAGGATCACTTTCTCGCAGGGGCAGAGTGTGAGCTTTCTAAGAGTAAGGAGCAGAGCCATGAGGATTAAGGACTTGGGTCAGGGCTGGGTGGAGTGTGGCTCTGGGTCAAAGCCTGCTCAGAAATCTCTAGGCCAGAAACACAGAGTAACACAGATACTTCAGCTGAGCCTCTCCATGTCCTCATCTCTGGGATTCTTTTGTAGAATCTGTAGCATCTGTAGCTGTGGACCCCATGTTTTCTTTGCCTCACGGAGAGATCCTGACCACTTACTAACTAGATGCAAGATGCTAAGGGTTCTTTTTTTGTCATTTTTATTGGTCTACGTAAAATCATTCTTATGCATTGTGTTTTGTACATGTATTTTGTATTTTATACAATCATTAATATATGTTTTTTGTCTTTTATTTAAATTGGGGTTTTAATTTTGTTTTTCAGATGTATTATATTTTATATAATTAATTACCATTGCTCTATGCTCTTTATCCCCTGTCTTTTCAAGTCCATATTGAACATTTCCCAATGTTCAGGATCTTAGGAAAATATAAGAATATAAAGTGGTACATTTGGAAACCAACACCCAGTACACACAGACTTCTCTGCCATTCAGACTTGCAAAGGATAAAGTATTTTGTGATTAAAAAAAGCAGCTCAGGATCAAGCTCAGAGCTTTTGTGAAGTAACATTTCCTGAGTTCTCTGGGTTGACCCATCACTTCTCCTTGCCCCCTAACTGCACATTAGCCATGAATGTATAAGCCAGAATATACAGAGTACAAAAACTATGGTGCTCTGAGATTCTGAATGAAAATCCAAATATGGCTGACTTCACCCAAATGTGATTTCTGTTTCTTGAGTGTCTGGGAGTGCTGTATGGACTTCATCTTTAGAGCAGAGTTTTCAATCCTAGACACGTGTTAGAATCACTTCTAAAGGAGAAGCTTGGGCCATGACGTTTTAAAAACACACCATTGTCTTGTTGTCATGTTTCAGAACCACCCTCTTTTTTCTGTGCATTTTAATTGCTGAGGAGGAGATTGCCCATCCTTCTCCAGTTGAGCAGCTGGTGGGTGCGAACTGCATGCCTTTGAGGTTGCAGCACAGCTTTTTACCCTGAGGCCACCAGAGCTCTCTCATCATTGCCTGAGATTGGTGTTTTTAAGCATCCAGTATTGTTATATAAAAATCTCTGAAGGTAGGATTGGGCATCTAAGGTGCAGCCAGAGTTGAGAACCACTATTTTGTAGTCTGGAGAAGCTTAGAAGATTAGAGAGAACTTCTGGAGAAGCTTAGAGCGCTATATTTATATACGTAGACACATACCCATGCTCCCCAGGGAACGCTGTGACTTCATGGCAAGGAGCTGTGCTACAATCCCAAAGGCACTTGATTCGAGGCTACCAGCTGCTCCGTGGGAGAAGGATGGGCGATCTCCTCTCATGTGATTAACTGCCTGGGGGGGGGGGGCGGACACCCACCAGAGGGTCAGTTTTTACTTGATGGAACATAACAACAACAACACACACACACACACACACTCACTTTTTTTA